ATACATATAAACCAGAGAAAAAAAGTAAACCTCATCTCAACCATATATATAAAATAAAAATTAATATATTTACAATTAAAAAGTCATAAAAACAACAAATAAAAAATAATTTGTGGATGGATTCAGAATGAATAATGTTACTTGTACCCTTTTGTGTACCACTTGGTTTATTTCCAAGGGGTACACGTACCTATTTACCCTTAAGGAATAATTTAGTAAATTATTCATTAAGGGTAAATATGTACATGTACCTTTGGAAGTAAATCAAGTAGTACACCAATGGTGACATGTAGCATGATCCATTGGGAATTTTGTCTCAGTAAGAGGCTCTAACGAGCAAATTGATAACGGCCTGCCTATTCTAATAGTTGGGAAATTTACATACATATACTCTATATAACAAATATTAACATATATACTACTTGGAAAGAGTTTAATCAAAATAGGACTTGGTGGTGCTTTTTTTTTCACAAATACGAGATTAATTCTCTCACATTGTGATCTCCTTCTCTCTCCAACCAATAAATACGCAATTAATTGTTGAGAGCCTTATCTCTCTCCATATTTCTCTCATTCTCTCTCCAACCACTAAACAAGCAATTAATTGGTGAGAGTCTTTATCTCTCTCCATATTTCTCTCTCCAATTAAAATTTGTTTATCAAACGAGATTATTGCATTAACAAAAAAAAAAAAAAAACTCATAGCATCTTCATCGTTCTTCCATTTCTTGAAATAATATATACATATGGCTGTGTTAATTGTACATATATATACATAAGATAAACAACATATAAACATATTTTTTATTTTGCAATTACCTGATAACATGAGAACAAAAAGTGTATATATATATACATAAAATAAACAATAAATAAACATCTTTGATTCTGCAACAAGCTTGTAACATGAGAATATAAATTGTATATATATACATAAGATAAACACTCTCTAAACTTTACCCAAGGCATTTAAATATGATACCTTGACATAATATATAGATATGTTGGGTTAATTGTACATATACATATACATAAGATAAACAACATATAAACATATTTTTTATTCTGCAATAACCCCATAACAGGAGCACAAAAAAGTGTATATATATAAACATAAAATAAACAACATATAAACATATTTGATTCTGGATTAAACTTGTCACACGATTACAAAAATTGTATATATATACATAATATGAACACCCTATAAACTTTTCTCAAATGCAATATACTTATAACATGACGAAAAAAACTAATGATATATATATAAGATAAACAACAAATTAACGTTGATGAGTAGAATTATCGATTCCTCCTCTTCCTTGGTGTGGGGCCGATTTTTTCTTGAACTCTCTTTTCTTCAAAAAATTCTGTCGACGCTAACGATTTTTTGGGTCAAACTTTGGGATATACGTGACCGTGTCCTTGTCGTCTTTTTGTACATCTGAACCCATTTCACTCGAATGAGATTCTTCTTCCTCGTCAATATTGAAATCCGAATCGGCGTGGATACTTTGGAGTATCAAAATTTTTCTCTTCGTTTTTTTCTTCGAACCCTTTTCTTCTTGGGGTCGTCAATCACCTTTTTCTCTTTGTGTTCGATTTTATGTTCAGAGACAAAATCATCGTCGTCGGTCGACTCATTCTCGGCAGGATTCGGAATTGGTGCTTTCTTAGGAGCATCCAATTTCTGCAATTTCTGGAATTGGATGGTTTGCCCTCAATTTCTTTACACTTCGACATTGTTTGCTTCGTCTCTAATTTCGAATTTTAAAATTTCTGTCGCCGAGATGCAAAACTTTTTGAGTATGAGAGACGAGAGAGATGGAGAGATGAGGGAGATGAGAGGCGGAAGCTTTCTATGTATGAGAGATGAGAGAGATGAAATATTTTTGGTGAGAAAGATGAGAGATGAATTTCTATCGGATATGGAGAGAGAGAGTTTCTTTTCTAATTAATAATTCTATCCAATTAGCTATTAATTAGGCCCCAATAACTGCCTCAACGTATTTTTGATGAAACTTTTTGCTATTCGTAATTATGATATTATGTTCATAAGCAAAAGTAAGGGGAGTAATTTTCTCCTAATAGTTCTGCCCAAATAAAAAGTGTTAACATTTTTGTAAAGCCCAATAAATGTTACAGGCCCACACCATCCTCCTTCCTCCGATATCCCCTATCTGGGATTTGTCCATTTTTCTTCCCACTAAAACCCTAAAATCCCAAATTGAACACCTTGCTTGATAATTCTTCTTAACTTTTCATATTAAAACCAAATTGATCTTAACTGCCATTCTGCGTCAGCTATAATTACATAGATTTGAATAAAAATGGAGTGCGTAGTTCAGGGGATTATAGAGACCAAGGTAAGTCGACAGAAAAATTGCCCAGATTTTCCTGAGTTGTGTCTGTAAAATTCTTTGAGTAATGCTGTTGTCAATGTGCTCGTTTCAACTGTTGAGTTCGATTATACTGATGATGATGACGCCGAACCTTAAATTTTGATTTCTTGGCTTAATTTTCATCTCTGACTCCCTTTGAAATGTGATTTCATTTAGTTTTGACACATTAGCCATGGCATTCTTTAACAGCATGTTGAGGCTCTTGAGATTCTTCTTCAAGGGCTCTGTGGAGTTCAGCGAGAGAGCCTGAGGATTCATGAATTGTGTCTGAAAAGTGTTCCGAATCTTGGTTCGTATTCACTCTCACTTTGCAAAGTCCAAAGCGCAATTATTTGTTTGTTTATGATTGCGTATTACTCGTCATCCGTGACCTTTTCGATCATTATTCTTCCTCGTTTGAACGATCTGAATTGCATATGTGACCGATCTACTTAAAAGTGATAGTTTTTACGCGTTTCTTCCCTTAGGATTAGTCTCTTCTGAACTCCGACTTCTGTGTGATCTTGAGCAACCCGAACCCACTTGGTAAGACACACAAAAAAAGAAGGAAAAAAAAGACTTCATTGGCACCCTTTTTTAATTACTTGACTTCTGAGTCTGACGACAAAAAATATGAAATAATTGTCAGGACCGTCCGCCACATAGGTGGTGCCATGAGGGGTGCAGGGGCCGAGCAAATTTCGGTGCTGGTGAGGACTATGGCTGAAAGCAAGGTAAGTAAAAACGCGCTCCGTTTGTTTTATGCACTCGGGTACAAATTGGACCACGAGCTGCTTAGGGTGGGGTTCGCCTTCAATTTCCACCGAGGGGCCCACATAACGGTGACCGTGTCTTCTGTCAATAAAATGTTGAAACTTCACGCAACCGACGAGGCAGTGCCGGTAACGCCGGGCATACAGCTGGTCGAGGTCACAGCTCCGGCCTCGTCCGAGAATTACACTGAGGTTTCCGCGGCTGTTTCGTCTTTTTGTGGATATCTTGCACCGTAAGTGTGTCTATGTATTTGCCTTTTCATTTATGGTTGTTCTCGATAAAGATAGTTGGCCGTGCTTGTTTATAAAAAGAACTAGGAAAAAAAATTGGTTTATTCTAGTTACTTGTGTTAACTAGAGTTTATTTGAAAACGTTTGCATGATTAGTTGTTAGTGATATTTTAAGAATGTATTAAAATAATATTTAAAATAAAATGATTAAAATTAATTTGATGTAAACGTAGGAAATAAATGATTGGAAATGATAGGTGGTTAAAATTATGTGAGTAGATGAATAATGAATTAAAGTTGATGTGATGTGTAAGAATGATTGAATGATATTATTTAATCATATTGATAATATTGAGGATAGTGAGGTTGAGTTAAAGTTGAGTTAGATTTTGAATTAAGATAGATTTTTTTTTTTTTTTTCTAGTTTTTTTATACCAAGCAAAGCCTTGGTGTGAGATTCAGAATTTTTAGTTCTTGCTAGTTGTGGAAATTTAAGTGCAGCAAAGCGAAAAGTAAGTTTTATGATCATTATAGTATACAAATAACGGCTTCAGAAAGTTCCTTTTATGTAACTGTGTGTGAAATTTGCATGATTGCGACTTCATGACACGAAAGGGCATTCATTAGACTCAAGATAAAGAACCAATAACTTTTTAATGAGTTGCGTAAATTTTTCTTCCTGTTTTCGCTTGCGCATGGTTTGGATGATCAAAAGTAGTATTCAAGATGGCCCTTGAGATTGATCGTTCAAGTTTTCAGTTACTAAACTAAAGAATAACTGCAAATGCAGATAGGAAGGGCTTGTTTACCGTCTAGTATATATGCTCTTCATCTCTTGAAGTCTTTGAAAACTGAGTTGCAAATTTTTCGAATCTTCATTACATAGATGATTAAGTTTTATGTCAATCTAATGAGACTGGAAAACATTAAAATACTTGTTTCGACTTTTCAGGTTACTCCATCTATCGAAACCTGGCGTCTCGACCGGAGTTGTCCCCACTGCCGCCGCAGCTGCAGCTTCTCTGATGTCGGATGGTGGAGGCACATCAATTTAATCGTGGAGTTGTGCATAACTGATCGTATTATGTGCTGTTTCTTTATTAGGAAAACACAAGACCAAGCCCTTTAGAAATGGCCTTGTTATACAAACACTTTCCAGGTTTGTATGCATTCCCCTGCTATTCTAGTTAAAATGCCCTGTATCTCGTCGTGTTCATCGTTTGAAAAAATCTGGTTCGGAATGCGTGTGATGAACTGGCATGCTGTTGTGAATGGACTTTCATTGGTTAAGCAAGAACTTTCTTGAAAATTTGGCTGCCTGACAAGTCAAGCAATCATGGCTCCAAATCTGGTTCGGAGAAATTCTAGGCAACCCTTTTAGAAATTGTTCTGGTATGTTTATTTCAGCATATGTACGTTGTTTCCAGTTAAGGGGTACCTTGTAATGTGCAATAATGAAATATAGTCTTGTTCAATGACAAAATCAAAATTTATTCGAAATTTTCTAGAAGACGCTGGGCGTCCAAACAGTGCTTAGGAGGCGTATAGAAATTAGGATTGAATACTTTATTTTTTTATTTATTTTCACTATATACAAAATAGAACTATCACAACTTATAATAAATCAACATATCTAAGTTCAAATAATAATATTAATATATTATAGAAAGAAATGATAACAAAATAATGTAATTAGTATTAAAAAATAAAAATTGAAAAATTTTTTGTCGAGACCTACCTAGGGCCACCAAGGTGAGCCCGTCTAGGAGCGCCTAAGAATAAAGGTTATATCAACCATCTATTGGAATTACACAGACGACCAAGGGGATACGAACACTCGAGAAACAAAAAAAA